GAGTGGGAGTGGTGTTTTGGGGAGGTGAGTTGGTTTGTTGTTTTTACTAGGTGAGTTGTGTTTAGGAGGCGGAGGAGGTTGCGGTGGTTATTTGTTGTTGGTTTTAGTAGGAGGGTTTGTGAAATGGATTAATTATTAAAGATTTATTTTGTTGCTGGAAGGCTGGGATTAGGTGAGACAAGTGGAAAGCGGGGATTAAGAGATATTTAGTCGAAGGAGTGGAGGTATGTGAGTGGTGGGCGTGGGTGGTGAGTAGGAAAGAGCGTGCGTTGTGTTAAGGAGAAGGGGGGATTAGGTGTTTTTTTTGTTTTTAGGAGTTGGGTCAAAGGTTGTGTTTGAGTGGTGGGCGTGGGTAGTGAGTAGAAATGAGTGCGAGCTGTGTTAGGGAGATGGGGGAGGATAAGGTGTTGGTTATTTATAAGAGTTGAGTGTTGTTGTTTTTAAGGATTTAGGGGTTTTGTGATTAATTCGGTGAGAGTGATGTATGTGAATAAGGATGAAAGGATAACATGATAATTACCGATGATGGAGTTTCCTTGGCTTGCTATCAGGCAATGCTCTGTGCTGGCTTGGGAAGTGTTGCTCGCTTGGACTTACTTACTTACTTACTTTGGAGATTTAACGTGCGCTTTCCGACTGATGCGTATTTCGCACACGGGCCCGGCCAGGCCATTTAATGTGTTTCCGAAAGGGGCGAAGGTGGTCTGTGCAACCCAAGAGGGGGGTTTTAGGGGTTGCTTATATAGAATTTGGGAATTTTGAGATTTGGAATAGATGCCGATGGGATTGGGGAGGAGAACTAAGGGAGCTGGGTATGGTCGATGTTTGTTTGTTTATGTGATTTTGATTTGGTAGGTTATTGTGTTTTTAGATGCGTTTTATTAGTTCCGTTTTTATTAAGAATACGCCTAAGGCCTTGAAGTTTTCTAGTTTATTTTGTGGGTTTAGTATTGCTTCTAGAGTTAGAGCCTTGTTTAGATTGAGGGTGGTTTGTAATGCGGTTCGATGTGTTAGGTAGTGTGTGCAGTGGATGAGTGCGTGTTCTGGGGTTTCTGGTTGTTTGCAGTGTGGGCAGTTACCTGTAGTGTGTTTTTTTTAAAAATTTAGGTGGTTATTTAGGTTGGTGTGTCCTGTTTGGAGTTTAGTGATTACTCTGTCGATTTTTTTGGATGGATGGAGAATTTTTGGTTTGGTTAGTGGTTTGCTGAGCACTTTTTTGATTTGGCTATTTGAGTTTAGATATAGGTTATGCCATTTTTTTGTGATTTTTTGCTTGTTTACACTTTTAATTTCTGATTTTGAGATGGGTAAGTTTAAGCTTATTTCTGGGATTTTGAGGGATAGTTTAGCTGCTTTATCGGCGTTTTCATTACCGTATATTCCTACGTGGGCGGGTATCCACAAGAAGGTTATTTGTTTGCCTGCCTTAGTTAGGTCGTTGGAGCTTTTAAGTATTTGATTTATTAATTTAGGTCGGTTTTTGGTATTTTTGTTTTGGAGGGCTTGCAGTCCACTTAGGGAGTCGGTAAGTATTAGGATTTTTTTGTGGTTTTTGGATTCTTGATTATGGAGGGCTGAGGCCATGTCCATTAGTTCTGCCGTGAATATTGATTGGTTGTTTGGGAGTCGGAAGGATTGTGTGGTTTTAGTTGGTTGTGTGGTATGGACTCCGAAACCTGTGTTTGGAGGTCGGATCTGAGGATCCGTCCGTGTAAATGTGACACCAATTTGGCCAATTGTCGTGTATGTATGCTAGTGTGGTAGTTTTAGCTATGTTTGGGTCGGTTTGTTTATTTATTTGGCTAGCTAGTGTTGTGTCTATTTTGGGTATTTTAAGTTTAGGGGTGAAGATATTTGATTGTTTGCAGTTTTGTTTAAGATTTTTAATTTGGTGTTCATTTAGGTAGTTTGTTATTCTTTGGGATATTGGGGTAAGTAAGGGGTGTTTACGAGCTAGAGCTTGGTTTTTGGGGCTGATGTTTTGGTTTATTAAGTTTTGGATGAGAGGGTTTGATTGGGACGCTGCCCAGAAATTTAAGCTTAACTGTTCCCTGCGTAGACTTAGTGGCATTTCTCCTGTTAAGGCCTGAAGTGAGGTGTAGGAGGTGCCATGTTGGGTGCGTGTAATTAGTTTGAGAGCCTGATATTGTATTGAGTCAAGTTTTTTAGATAGAGAGTTGTTTAGGGTGTTGTATATGGCGCAGCCGTAGTCTAGTTTTGATCTAATTAGTGATATGTAGAGAGAGAGGAGGGTATCTTTGGATGCTCCCCAGTTAGAGCCAGTTAGGCATCTTAGGGTGTTTAGGTCTTTACTGCATTTAGTTGTTAGGTTTTGGATGTGAGCATCCCAGGTGAGATGTTCATCGAAAATAAGTCCTAAGAATTTGGTTTGTTTTTGAAATTTGATTGGCTCGCTTGGAGTACAAACTGCAACTGATATATACCAGTAGGAGGCAATGCTTATACACTAGAGTAGATATTGCTATACTGGAGTAGAGAAGCCTGTTATGTTCACACAAGGGTAGTGATGACAATCATCGGTGATGTCAGTGACATAAACAAAGAATGAAGCCAGTAATATAAACAACAGGACTACGGCTGATTTGGGTCTTTGATGAGTTGATGGTACGCCGGGGGTGTGTAATAGCCTTGGCCACGGTTGATTGACGGTTGGAGTCTTTTGATGTTGATGGCTTCTTGTAGTTTTCTTATTTTGAAGTCTTTGATGTTGGTGGTTAGGGCTTTGACTTTATCCCACTGAATGCTGTGGCGTCGGTTGTCAAGGATAGAGCTGATAAAGAGTGAGAGCGTGAGTATAGTTTTACGCCGCTTTTAGCAATATTCCAGCAATAGCACGGCGGGGGACACCGGAAATGGGCTTCACACATTGTACCCATGTCGGGAATCGAACCCGGGTCTTCGGCGTGACGATCGAACGCTTTAACCACTAGGCTACCCGACCGCCCCAGCTGATACAGAGCTTGATAAGGGTGATAGAGCCTACGCCGAAATGTCGCATTTAATTGTAATAAAGAAGTTGTTCATCCATGTATTCTTATCCTTACTAAGAACTCCAACTTCTAAATGCCTATCAAAGAAGTCTTTAAGGATGATGAGAAAATGTACAAGCTTTTAGATGTATTTACCTGTATTTAAATAATGATGACACCGACTTCGGCATTTTATGCACAGGTGGGTATTTCCTGCATGTCCTCACAATCGATTGCCTGTACCTTTTCTCCCAATACCGATTGTCACATCTTTCCTGCTTTGGTGAGGTGAGGTGAAGTGAAATTGGGTTTAACGTCGCGTCAAAGATTATTGCACTTATATAGCGACGTGCATATACGTGTGTGTGTGGCTGCTTGTACTAGTCCGGACTGTTGCCGATTTATAGTGCCAGCTCACTGAGATACCATGCCGCAGTTTAACATGAATACACCACTCAGACACAGTATACTCACTCCGAGCCGACCAGTCCTTGTTTTAGCCCCTTAATGCCGAGCGCCAGACAAGGTAACAAGTACCATCTTTTAACGTCTTTTGGTATGACGCGGTCGGGGATCGAACCCCGGACCTTCCGCTCTCCGGGCAGACGCTCTACCACTAGACCACGGAGGCGATCTTTTCCCGCTTAGGGGCTCGACCGTTCATGCAACGCGTGTATCTGCGTTGCCCAGCTATATCTATGGGGAACAACACAATAGACACTCCCCCTTCAAAAATAACATCGTCATATATACAACGTCACGAAGTTGCGGCGCATGTTCGAATTTCAAGAAATGACGTCATAATAAAACAGTGTTTTATCGTGAAATGAACCAGGCTTCGTTCTTAATTGTTCTTTTTTTTAATCGTAGCTATCTTGTTTAGAAACACAGTCCCGTTGCTACAATATTCAGAGTATGTATGACGGTGGTCTCACTGGCAATATACAGTATTAGTAGAGATCACGATTAAGATCCAGTAAGAGCGTACAGTTCAAGTTTTTGGGGCAACATGGAGCTTGCGGTATTCAGTCTTTTCTGGATCCGACTGGACAGCCTCCGTGGTCAGGCCCACCCTGAGAGCGGAAGGCCGTGGATCGATCCGCTGTCGCGCCATGCCAATTGACGTTAAAAGGTGGTACTTGTTGTTTCCCTGCCTGACGCTCAGCGTTGAGCGGCGATAAGAAAGACTCGGCTCGGAGTCAGTCTACTGTGTCTGAGTGGGGGATTCGAACGTCTGTCCTGACCAACTTTCCGTCTTCTTAACGTGCAAGATATCAAGATCGTTGATTCGAATCAGAGATTCGCCCTGAAAAAAGCTTGATTTGACTGCACCATACTCATGCTGGCTGGTTTCAGCAAAGGGGGAATTAAAATGTAAGCCATGGTATTGCAGTACTTACTTTTCTCAAACACTCACGCTTTATCAAACACAAAAACAAGCAGGCCTGTGCAACATATCTAAATAAAGATATCAGGAAATACCCTGATCATGTTGTGTACCTTACACATCTTAAGTATGAAATAGTTTGATTATTGTGATCAAACCCAGAGTGTGTAAGCTGGGAAAAAAATATAGATGGGCCACTGAACCCTACCCTTAACCCTAACCCTTACCCTAACCATGAAAATCAGTTATGACACCAGGTAAAGGGTAGAGAGATTTAGCCTGCTTTTAACAATATTCCAGTTATATCGAGGCTTAATATGGGAGGAAAGCCCGAAGTGATGCAGGTCTCAGACGTTTACGTGAAACCCACGAGCACGGGTATGGTGCTGACAAACCTAGAAACATAATCGGGGTGAACCGGGATTCGAATCCACAATCATAGGTTTCTGGCATAGCCAAGGGACGCCACTCTGCACGGCGAATTGCGGCTCCTTAGACGACTGGGCCACCCGTGCCCAATGTAAATTAACAAAACACCATGTAACTATAACAAACGACTGAAAGAAGAACACACTAAAGTACTTTTTATTCTTTTTTTGGTAAGCACTTGCTTTTTGTTCCAGGGGGTAGCTGTGCAACTTCAGGCTGACGTCATACATCTGACTTCCGATTGAAACGGCGTGACAGGACACACGCTACAAAATAGGAAATTCGATGAAGCGTCATAAAATACCTGATGTCCTGCTGATACATTTCTAATGTCCCTCGACTTTTACCAACCATTTCGCGGCCATCTTCGTTGAGCTAAAGGCCCAGTTTCAAAACAATGGTATTTTCTTGAACTGAACTGAACTTTTATTTCCACCATTAACGGCATTAAAGGTTTAAAATCACTTTAAAAACGTGTACGTGTCCATATAATACGGAATAAATAAAACCTTTGGCGAACATGTATATGTACACAGAATAGTGAGTGAGTGAGTGAGTTGGGTTTAACGCCGCTTTTAACACTTTTCCATTCATATCACGGCGTGTCAGCCTAATGTGGGAGGAAAGCCCGAAGTGATGCAGGTCTCAGACGTTTACCACTTCGGTGAAACCAACGAGCACGGGTATTGTGCTGACAAACCTAGAAACATAATCAGGGCGAACCGGGATTCGAACCCACAATCATAGGTTTCTGGCGTGCCCAAGGGTCGCAACTCTGCACAGCTAATCGCGGCGCCTTAGACGACTGGGCCACCTACAAAGAATAATGCATCAAAGCGAAGTATTCGTCAAAACCTTTGTCTGAATTAACATAATATATTCCAAAAAATAATGACCATCTGCAGTCCGTTTGACTCCAAATGAGAACGATGAATTGCAAAATAACTCCAAATCCAGAAAAGTGTATGAAACATCAATACGGTACTTGACCATAAATACCCTGTACCCAACAAAATCTGAATTTTGTTTATTTTAAGACCCATGACGGATGAAGTTCTTTAAGAAACTATCATGTAATTTTGTATAGAAATGTGTACATGACACGTAGGGGGACAAACCGTGGAAGGAACAGCGCAAGCACGCATGTACTGCACGTTCTGTGGTAGGGGAAATGACAAAGCGTTAGAGGGGCCGTCTCATGATATTTTCAGTGGCAATCTGACTCGCTCATGCCATAGATCTCGTCGTCGGAACTGCTGGTGCCTGAACCGACTGCCACTATTATAGGTTGGACTGTTGCTGGCCGTAGTCCATCTCGTGACCAATAACGTGGCTCTATCTCGTCAACGACTGTGGCCACACAACGCCTCCATGTTTCTACTGTTACACGACCAAGGGATTCCTTTACGAGTTGTTCAACGTCTCGTAATTTGAACGTTGTGTTCGATCGTCCAACGTCACCCTTGACGATGCCCCATACCAACTCGATTGGATTCGGGTCGCAGTGATAAGGTGGCAGTCGTAAGACAGCGTGACCCTGACCCATAATGTAACTGTCAACTTTATACACGGGGTCACGTTTCATAGTTTTGATGATTTCATAGAGCTGTGGTTTCGTCGCTCGAGAAGGAAAGGTAATGTTCCTCCGTCGCAGCCAAGTAACCATGTCTCCTTTACGGTTATTAGAGGTTGGAGTCTTGCTTTCTGGATCCTGCACACTATGATACGGTGCATTGTCCATGACACTGAGAGACTTTGTAGGCAAAGCAGGGACTAATTTATCTTTCACCCACTCCAGAAATACATTGCCGTTCATTTCTGTGTGGTAGTCCCTGTTGTCTTTGGCCTTGGCTCTAAAGACGAGGTCACAGTCTGGGAGAAAACCCTGACTAGCAGAACCGGCATGGAGAACTATGAGTCTTTCACCCTTTCCCATTGGTAACTTTCTACCAGACTCCTTACAGTCACCACTGGGTACCCACTGACTGCTGGCTGTGTGTGACGCATTTACCCATGTCTCATCTAAAAGACGGGCTCATATCCTTCTTCACGTTTCTGCTTGATGGTACGAAGGTTATGATTTCGGAGACGAACAATGTCTGACCGTTCACACAACACAGCCCTTTTTTCTCCAGTTATCTTTTTGTATTTGTAACTAAATGTATGCAACAGCTGCCATAGTTTGTACTTTGTAACACGTAAATCACGTTCAGTTTCAAGGTGTTTCTTCAAAATTCTAAGGGACAGGTACTTATTTTCTGTGTGCAGTTTAACAATTGCACGTCTGACTTGATCCCTCTGAAAACTGTCTAATTTATCAACCTTGCGTGGTTTTGACATGTTCCCTACCTCCTTGGCCTGACTATTTGTATTTCGGCGACTAAGAACAGTTTTAAGTTTCTGAGGGGACATACCAAGAGCTTTTGAAGCTCGTTTCAAGAATTTATTAATTGCATAAAAAGGCTTTGCTCTTTCTGCTTCACTTCTAAAGAAATCATACACATTCAACATCAACTGTTTAACATCTGAGAGAGAGAGGGGTGGGTTGTTGAAGGAAGAAGAGAGAGAGGTGGGATGTTGAAAGAGAGAGAGAGAGAGAGGGGGGTGGGTTGTTGAAGGAGAGAGAGGTGGGTTGTTGAAGAAAAGAGAGGGGGGTTGTTGAAGGAGAGAGAGAGGTGGGTGGGTTGTGGAAGGAGAGAGAGAGGTGGGTTGTTGAAGAAAAGAGTGAGGGGGGTTGTTGAAGGGGAGAGAGAGGGGGGGGGGGTTTGTTGAAAGAGATAGAGAGGTTAGTGGGTTGTGAAAGGAGAGAGAGAGGTGGGTTTTGGAAAGAGAGAGAGAGGTGGGTGGGTTGTGGAAGGAGAGAGAGAGGTGGTGGGTTGTGGAAGGAGAGAGAGAGAGAGGTGGGTTGTGGAAGGAGAGAGAGAGAGAGAGGTGGGTTTTGGAAAGAGAGAGAGGTGGGTGGGTTGTGGAAGGAGAGAGAGAGGTGGTGGGTTGTGGAAGGAGAGAGAGAGAGGTGGGTTGTGGAAGGAGAGAGAGATGTGGGTTGTTGAAGGAGAGAGAGAGAGAGAGAGGTGGGTTGTTGAAGGAGTTAGAGAGTGAGAAAGAGGAAGTGGTGTGTTGTTGAAGGAGAGAGAGAGAGAGAGAGAGAGAGAGAGAGAGAGAGAGAGTTGGGTTTTTGAATGAGAGAGAGAGAGGTGGGTGGTGGAAGGAGAGAGAGAGAGACAGAGGTGGGAATTCTCATACATACAGGGGCGTTGTTTCTGAACAATAAGACCCTTAAATCTTGAACTCAGCGTTGCTGCATACATTGAGAAAGGACAGACACATTGATTGGATGATTGTGTACATCCAAGCTATCGTAGTATCGACTCGATCCCTGTCTAGGCTGACAATGACCGTCTACAGCAATCTATGAATTTACCTTACACATCTTTGTAATCACCTTTCAATGATCGGCCAGTTAATCAATGATGACCAACACATGCAACCGCAACAGGTTCATATTCAATAGCGTTTATCGTGTCGACCATTTTGACGTCTTGCACTTGATGTACAAGTATTATGACGCCCTGCCATTGTGACTGACTTACTGAGGTAGCTCTCAACAGTCCTTTCTCATCCATTATAAACCTATTCATTGGGATCTCTATTAAGTAAGAGAGTTCTTTCTATAGGCATTAAAACCTATTGTGAGGTTTTACTTTCAAAGTAAAACCTATTAAGATGTTTTATTTTCGTTCTGGAGGTTTAACTTTGAATGTAAAACCTCAAATCCCAGGTGTAACCAAGTAACTGAAAACATGACTACAAGTAGCAATTCAAAATTTTAATTCAATTAAAATTGAATGTCATGTGTACAGTGAACGAAGACTGGGTAACAAAATGAAAGTTGTCGTCGCTCATCTTTCCACTTCAGAGTCTCTGGTGAAAGGACAGCGAGGTTTCAAAACACGTGCTTTTAAACAAGTGCTTATCAATGCTGCACAATTTGCACGTGAAGTAACTGCTAGCCGTTACGTCACAACTACATCTGTGTAAACAGTTGGATTGTTTAAAGTCGTAAATCTTGTAAAGCAAAAGACACCTTTTAAATTTGCGAATTTTCGTTTTGAAAAGTTTAAAAGAAGTGGAATGTTGCAACACAAACATTAAGAGACTGAAGATTTAACTTTCATTTAAAAGTAAGTATTTTAGTTGTGTTTTGTTGTTGACACATCCAAGTGCTCTTGACCGCCTGGCAAGTCAGCGAATTTCACGTGCAAGTTATGATATCACGTCTTCAAGGAAGCGCTATAATGAAGCGCCTCATTTATAGATGCTCGTTATAACATTTAATCAATTTAGACGGTTTATAAGTATGGAAAAACACTTTCCCTCGGTTTTGGTAGACAGAGCATGCCCTGGGGGTCGGGAAAAACCGCGGGGGCTTCGTTTACTCGCCTGCAGTTTGCTCTAGTCAGTCCGTCGGGGAATCTACACATACCAACTGCCATTCTGGAAGAGCCTGTCCACGTCACAGCGCGTCAATGTGCACGTGCTAACCAGGTCAACACACCAGCACATGCGCAGTGTTTGGTTTGGAGTTAGACGTAATGCACAACGCAAACACTGTGGAGATGTTTTTGCATGTCAGATATCTGTCAGACAACAGAGGGCTGACTGCGGACACTTAGGCTGCATCATGGCATCAGCTGGCCGTTGTTTGTTTATGCATTCAAATGCCTACCTGCCCCAGCAGTTCATCAATGGCCTCGTTGTTTCAGATGTTCCAGAATCACCCAACTGGAGACCTCGTGACTATGTATGTGAATAAAGCCTTTGTACGTTTATGAGTTTGTTGAGTGAGTGAATGAGCTAGAAATTCACGTCACATCGGTCTGTATTACTAAGACCCTGTATTACTAAGGCCTGTATAACTAAGGCCTGTATTACTCAGGCCCTGTATTACTAAGGCCTGTATTACTAAGACCCTCTATTGCTAAGGCCCGTGTTACTAAGACCCTGAATTACTCAGGCCCTGTATTACTAAGACCCTGTATTACTAAGACCTGTATTACTAAGACCCTGTATTGCTAAGACCTGTATTACTTAGGCCCTGTATTACTAAGACCCTATATTACCAAGGCATGTATTACTAAGGCATGTATTACTAAGACCCTGTATTACTAAGGCCTGTATTACTAAGACCCTGTATTACTAAGAACCTGTATTACTAAGGCCTGTATTACTCAGACCCTGTATTACTAAGACCCTGTATTACTAAGGCCTGTATTACTAAGACCCTGTATTACTAAGAACCTGTATAACTAAGGCCTGTATTACTCAGACCCTGTATAACTAAGAACCTGTATTACTAAGACCCTATATTACTAAGGCCTGTATTACTAAGGCCTGTATTACTAAGGCCTGTATTTCTAAGACCCTGTATTACTAAGGCCTGTATTACTAAGGCTCTGTATTACTCAGACCCTGT